ACCACCGACAATAGCCAGCTCGCCAAACAACCACCCGCGTGTCGTCCCACCACGATCCCGACGATATCGCCGTGGATTCCTCCGGCGCGGGAAATAGGCTGCTTTCCTTTTGTTTTAGAGCCCACAAGGAGAGGAAACTACGGCCGGGTAGTCGCCGCAATTCAATCTTCGAGTCTCTCTCAACGCAACGTGGAGGTTTTCCACGAGACGACGGAATCGATTTTCGTAAAAATCTGTGCACTAAAATTGCAGTCTGTCCTATACTCTATCATGTGTCTCTCTTCAATTCCATGTTCTCTGTTCTATGTCGCTAGTCGGGTGCAGAAACGAAGATATTGAGTTGATCCATAAGTTCGTACGGATTTTCAAATCAAACTGAAATACATTTTATTCTTGTTAAAAATAATTTTAGTCAATAATATATATGCGCCATTCTGTTTGACATGTCTTTTGCCATTTTTCACATAATTTTATAATTGCCTTTTCGTAAAACTCTTGTACTTTTCCGGCGAAAAAACGTTTTGAAGGATTCTCACATCTTTTAAAGAAGCAAATTTGATACTGCCAAGGGAGTTTTGTAATGAGCGAAACAGATTATAATTAGAGAGGATAACGTGTCGGATGATTATGAGTGAGGTAAAACATCCTAATCAAACTCTAATAATTTTTATGGAAATAAAAGAGCACACTGCACCGGAAAGACTCATTACTGCTTTCCATTTTCAAGCCGCAATAAAGACAATTGTATTTCTTGAAACATTATCATTTACCTCACAAAATGCTGAATCAGCTATCAAAGTATAAAGAGGAGACTATATGTTGCTCATGTGCTTTGTTTTAGTATTTATTTTGCGAGAAATAGTGGGAATACAAAATTACGAAATAGTCCTTTTAGGACGTAAATAAATTCCTGAGTTTCATTGAAAACAACGAAATATTATTACAGTAAAGAAATAGAAAAAATTGATTTGGTAATAGCAAAGTAAATTTTCGAGACTCTCGAAATTTTACACTAATATTCTTTATCGTGATTGAACAAAATTAAGTGTTGTGTCACCAGCTAGAATGAAATTTTTTGCAAGTGTATGGTATACTGTTTCTGCTAATAAATGCAATTATCATTCATAAAATTATCGAAATAGAGCATATAAGCGGATAAGGTAAAGTTGTAATTTGGAATTCTAAAATATAAGACATCTAGCCTCAGTCTCCCCTACATAAGTGGCCAACTGTCCTCGTAATACCAACATACGGATACCAACTACAAAATCTAAAAATCCAATATCAAAACTATCAAAACTAAAAATCCACATAAACTTATAGATCAACCTCCAATATTTAGGAGGTTGGAAAGCCTGAGTTTCGATTATGATCAATCGCTCGAGATGATTGAAGATATCGTCGATATCCGACCGACGGCCTCGATTCCGTCGAAACGAAGCGGAACAATCGCAAGATGTATAAAACGGTCAGTCGGGCTGTTTGCCGTATCGCGAATTCGCATGCCAAAACGGCCTTCGCGATACTCCTCAACTATTAGAGCACCATTTAAACCTCTGGCGTATACGAACGCGATGGAGGACTCAGCCCAGTTTCCACCAAGCTGGATATTCGACGCCGTTGATCGTTAATATTGCTTTCACGCGATCTCAGGAGATCCGACTTGGTGCCAACATACGAGAAAATGGAAATATACAGCGCGTTCGTGCGCGTCGTTTGTAATGTTACTACACGAGAGAAACGCTTGTATGTATCGTAACTATAATACACACTTTTTTTCGTTTATTTTGCTTATGCACAATATATCGAGCGATTGGACTTCAATTTACTGCGCCAAGCGCAACGAGAATATCGAAATTTGGATTCTACATTAACCGTATAAATTCCGTCGAATTTGAGAGATCAATAGAGAATATCGAGATCTGCCGAGATGAAATTCAGATTCTAACGTTAAGCTTGCAATATCATTGGAGTTGTAGGCCAGTAAAGAATCTCGCAACGGTGCGTTTATAGAGACTATTGTGGTTCCTTTGATGCTACACAGAGAAATATACCATTATACTGCTAAGAAAAGCAATTACTCAATCTACTTTCCTCCTCTAAAGTAATGCTTATCTTCAACAAAGAGTATTTCCTTGATAACAGTCTTCAAATATGCTCATCACAAATTTTAGAAGAGCTCATTATCATGTACTCGAAAAAAGAATTAATTTCTTTTACAAGTATATTGTAAAACTTTATCGAAGAAAAACTTGGTTCAACTCTATATAGTAAGCAAACCGAATTTTTATTTTAATTTATAAAAAATATTCTTGTGTTATGAAAGCTAAATCTACTAGAGTTCAACATCTATTTTGAACAAATATAATGCTTATGATATGAGCTTATAATAGATTTGCGGATATATAAACTTATGAAATACTTGAAACATTTACTTGAATGCAGTACATATTTTTTGTGCGTATGTACAAATCGTAACTTGTTGCCATATTAGAATATGTTAGATAGTTGACAGTAGAACTACTAAGGGAGCATCTCGATATCAAAGCCTTACTGTGACATGCGAAGGATATAAACGCTGCATATATTGCTTTATTTTGTTGGCATTTGTTGTAGCATGTAGAAAGTTCGCCCATCCAGTACGTAAGCGCGCGCGAATGAATGAAACTGGAGTTAGCGTCTGTGCTCGACTCGCACTCTAGCTGTAATTTCTCACTTCTAAATCGCTCAAGTGCACACTTGCGCAGAAAGTCTATCTTTTCTCACGTAAATAATGTTTTAAACTTACAATATATATCAACATTAGCACAATGTAATTCAATATAACTAAAGATTTCTGTCATTTTTATGGAATTTATCACTACTTTGGATCATGATATGTATATGAAAAGTATTAAGACATATGAGAACCGATAGCTTATTAGAAGACCAATGTATAAGTATTCTTAAACTATGAATTCAACTCTCTGGTACTAAGTTACTGTGTAGAATATGATTTTAACATAGATACGACAATTCTTTTGATTTCAATTTCTGGAACTATCACGTCATATACATATTCACATAATTACTTAAATCTAATATCTTATTTAAGTAAAAAAATAAAAAATTGTTTTCATGAAAAGGTTTTAAGAAAATATATATTTTCTTATTAAAAAAATATTTTATATTAGTAAATATTAGTACCCAAACGGGTAAATATTTTTTATTTCATAGACATTTTTACTCTTAATATACAAATTGACGAATAACTGAGAATTTATAAAGCTTTACTTATTTGACAAATTATATGAATGTTGGCCGCTAAATTTCGGCTCGGAATATCTCGGTAGCAAGTTCGTCAGATGCTAAAAAATATTCGCTACAATAAATAACTCGACATATGAAACCTCGAAACATATGAAGTATTATTGCCCGCGTTCCAGCATCCTGCTGCGTTCCTCCTCCCTGACTTCCCGATCCAACATTCTGTTCCTAGTTGCTCCGTCGTAGCACCCTGGATACTCTCTCGCGGCACTGACATTCATGCGATTCGGAATAATTTATACGTGTTAATTAATCGCGACGTCGACGAGAGAGTCCGATTAAATATTCGTATAATATCATATAATAAGTCGCAAATGTACTTAGAGTCAATGAAATATTTTAATCATCCGAGGGGAATTGTGGCGCACATGTGCTCCAGATACTTGCGTATCGCTCACCCGTACGTCATGCAATGTAACACTCAGTCATGAAAAACTACGCGACGCGCGAGAATACCAAAACAATCGGCAAAAACGGCGAAGCCGTCTCCCGCCTGTCGCCAACCGTTGTTGCTCTCTCTCCTCCCTCCCCCCTCCCCCCTCACCACTGTCTAGTCGCGAGACAATCACGCAGTCTACACTCTCAAAACATTGCGAACCTTCAAGGCGTTCAAACTCTCCTTTGTACGTCGCGTATTTTCCCGAGCGTTTCTGTTACATTTTCCAGACGCTTCTATTCATTGTCGGGACGTCGAGCGACACGCACACCGCCGCAGTTTATTCCCGTCGGGTGATTAAGATATTTCGTCGCCTCTCGAAATATTTAACTGAGCTCGCGTATCGCGTTAATTAATGTCTCTCTCTGATCGAATCGCGTCTAGTCTGAGAGTGTTAGTGTCACAACGGAGCAGAATGCCGAATCGAAAAATCCAGAATGGAGGAAGAAGAATGCTGGAACGTAGGCAGCGATGCTTCATATATTTCCAGGTATATATCAAATTATTTACGATATTTTTTATCATATAGTGAAGAAAAATATTTGAAAATTTATTTGCGGGATAAATAAAATTTACATATACACATACAGAGAGAGAGAGAGAGAGAGAGAGAGAGAGAGAAACTCTACTTTATTTCACAGAAATCACCTTTATTTCGTAGAAATAAATTTTATATTATAACTAGAAATAAATTTTCAAATATTTTGCTGTCTGCACATATATTTTTGAGTATAATATAGGCGCTTACCGAGAATAAAAAGATATTCGAGTCAAAATTTAATCCAGCTTTTATAACACGTCGTTATCTCACAAATAATTATAGCTTCGTTAATCTCAGTTTATTTGTCAACTTGTATCTATATTTATTTCAAGCAAAATAAGAAATATTAAGATAAACAGAATAATGATACAGGTAAAGAAAAGACTTAATAATATCAGTTAAATCTCAAAGTATTCGAACTTGTTAAAAAATTAATCATTGCGACATTTTACTGTCATTGCTAAAAGTTGACTGTTACAAGTAAAATGCATTCTCTTTAAGATACAAATTTATTAATTGAAATTAAAAGCGTATATTTGTTTGTCAAGTAGCTGGAAAAATGGAAACTAAATATTTTGTGCGCGTGAATCTCGAGCATTTGAATCTCTGTAAGGAATTAACCTTAGAGAGGTTGTCCCACTGTATCGCTTACATTGATTGACCATTTTTTTCTCATTAATATCTCAATAATTATCATGGCAGAGTTTATACAAAATGTGTGGTACAAAATTGTTCTGTACAATTTAATGAATTCAACTTACATACGAGCGCCTAAATTCAAACGTTTTATATAATTAATGAATATAAACAACAAACGTAAAACAACAAGTTTTGTCTTTTTACACAATCTCTGTATTATATATTTTTTCATTGACGTTGGAAATGTATACCGAATATCTGACACTATGCGTACCAACACTCTTGCGCGGATAGAGCTCATAAAATTGAACAAAAAAGTCCGCCGTTTCGCAAATAATCACAATAATTATTCCTTTACTTTTATACTAATTTTATATACTTTTATAATAATATTAATCTCGCCATAATAAAAGATACGAGAAAAGGAACAATTCGCTCGCGAATGAAAGAAGTTGCGCATTGCTCGCGTTATCGTGTTTGTCGTACTTTAATCGATCATGACGCTCGACTTTTCCAAATGGGCAATGAAGGAGCACTATTGACGCGATTGCGATTTATATCATATTTTATGTCGATTTATTCGCGAATTACAACCGTTTAAAGTCGCGGCATCGACATTGGGCTCGAAACTCGCAGTCATGCGACGCTAACACTTGCTCTTGCGCTGGCGCACTATGTTGGCTTTTAAAGTGAAATGAATGACCGAGTGGCCGCAGTGAGCAGTGGAAAATCCATGCTTATCTGAGTCGTGGAGTGAGAACATACACGCATAATATTCAGACTGCGCATTTGGTTGAAAAGACGTCAAAACTTGAACAGAGACAGCATGCTTCTGTATCGCCATTCTGTCTTTGTCTGATATTGCGGAATGAAGATCTCTTCTCCAATTCTCATGACTATGTTTTCCGCGAAACAGAGCATCCTTACACTTGCCAGATACGCCATTTTCCTCTACGTCTTGCAATTTCCCCTTATTCTTTTTCACCCTCTCTATTGTTCTGTTTCTTCAGTCAACGAAGGCTTTTTCATCTCACCACGCGTCCTTATAAAGAGACAGATTGGTGATTCAGTAGTCTTCTAATAAGTAATAAGTTGCGTTGAAATCTGTTATATCAGCGCAATTTATTGCATTAACATGTATTTTGTTGAATAGATCCAATATTTCTTTGCCGATGACCGTCGATTTTGTCAATTCAATCGCTTTTTTCTCAGTGTTTTACTCGATTTCTTATTATTTCTACGCGCATGCGCGAACTGTCTATTACACCTATCAACACTGGTTCTGCATTCCATTCACACGTCGCATCGTGATGTATTCATAGCTCGTTGCAGCGATAACGCGAATCGATACAGTCGTTAATAACTCCAATTGTAGATGTCAAAGCGACTTGAAATAAAGATTATTGCAAAGGAGAAGTTATAGCGCTTCTGATGGACATAAAATCGTCCTTCTATGAAGCAAAGATCAAGTAACGTAGTAATATAAAGACATTGGGTTTTGTGTCCGCATTAAAGTGGATAGATTAATAATAAATCTAAGTTACAAACCGATAGGAAACCTTGATTTGGATTTATAATGTGAAGCGTCGGTTTTATATTTTTGGCGAATATAAAGTGCAATTCAAAAGAAAAGCAAAATGACAATAATGGAAATTTTCTATCTATATAGTAACGAATATTTTCTGCCGTGGCAACGACATTAACTGCCCCTGGCACACATTTTAGTTACTACGATGTTTCAGCTTTTGCAGCTAATCTTTCTTCAGCATGTGATGAATATAAACGTATTATTATGTTCTCAACCACACAATTACCACAGATTATAAATAATTCATAACCATAAATGCTAGCCTTAGAATGATACCTCATAATTCGTATGATTGATTTTCACAAGACAAAACGCTTCTGAGACTACTACAACAGAGATATCACATTGCAAAATTTCAAAAAACATTTGCATTTCGTTTATAAAAATTTTGTTTTGTTATCGGCATTTATTTTCGTCGGCGGCGTTAATAATATTTAATGACGCGGGGAGTCATCGAGGTGGCGGAAAAAACTTTAATTAGAAAGAAATATCTCTCAAAGAGATACCGTGCGTCGAACTTGGAGGTTGATGGAAACCACGATGCGGGTCGATAAGAAAATCCGATAGCGTATCTGAGAATCCTCTCTGATCTCTGGACGAAGTCGCGAACTTGCTAGAAACTCGCTCGAGTGTTTGAGGAAATATTTTTCTCGGCTGGCAAGGATTCTGGGTCAGCGAGTCGAGTCTTCGGCGCGCGAGATTCGCAAATACACATACAGACAGTATGATTAAATTTCTGAAAAGTCCCTTTGTCCAAACCGACTGACTGTCCGACTGACTGACTGACTGATCGAATTGAACGGATGGGTCAGAACGAGAGAACGCGATTGACGGTGGACGGAAGGGGGAAATGTACGAAGGGCCGAGACGTGCGAAGGAAGAATAACAAAGTTTGTTTCTTCCTAGCCGGTAATATGAAAATCCAGGTCGCCAAACCGGCGGCAGAATCGGCCTTGAGGTCAGTCACTATGAACAACAACGCGAGTTCCTCTTTTTTCCTGAAAAAACATGACTACAATGGAACGCGAAGTCAATTATAGAGGGGGTCAGCAGGGGGTGTCAATGAATAGATTTATTATTTCGTCACACAAGTGTCGCTTGCGTTTCGACGTAATACGTCGAGTTATCGTTGTTTCACTCAAGTCCGTCCATAATTTTAATTTTAATGAGCCAACCTATGGGTCAACGTGCGTATGTCAGGCCAACAGCCAATTCATGATACATCCACCAAAATAATTTCGCCCACTTGTATAAGGTCCGCGTTAATAGTCGTTACTTGAAACTTACCTCAAGTGAGATACTCAGATTTCAGTTTGGAGTTGCATGTGAGTTTTTCAGCTAGATCGCGAGTACAAACGTTATGTCACATATATTATATAATTTAAATAAAACACTCAAATCTAACTCTAAATGTAGATCTAAGTATCTGGCGTAGAACAAGTTTCAAGTAACGATTATTAATACGGGCTTTAGGCTCGTATGAATAGTTGTCACTTGAAATCTCCATGTAAGATACTCAGATCTTTATTCGAAATCAGATTCAAATTGTTCAATTATATGATACTGACATTTATATCTCTAATCGCAACCCAACCTGAAAAATCGCAACCTGAAAACTCTCATCTAATTCTGAATTCAAATCTAAATATCTCATTTGAAACAAGTTTTAAGTAATGATAATTAATACAAGCCTGAAGTTCGTATTATAATGATAATTAATATAAGCCTGAAGTTTGTATTAAAGTAAACGTACCAATGTCTGGACGCTAATAATATTAGCTATTATTTTGGTCTTTAAATACAAATATTTAAACTTTTAACGTAGAATATGTATACATACATATATTCAGTATATTTATATGTATTTTCTCTCCCCTATATTGAAAGTTTAAATATCCGTAAAGACGAAAACAATAAAAATATCCAGAGTCAAGTATCAATGTTATTAATATCTAGGCATTGGTACTCTCTTTTATCTTAATTTACCTTCGAATTGTCATTCGAAACTTGTCTCATGTGAGATATTCAGATTTCTCTTCCGAGTTGGATCCAAATCGTTCACTTCAATTATATGATATGTGTGACATTTTGTGATTCAATTGATAAACTGTCATTTAACTCTGAACTGAAATTTGCATATCTCATCTGAGAGGAATTTTAAAGAACAACTTTTAAAATGGTCCTAAGCCCGGTCTGGCTGAGTATCGACGAATTCGTGCGTCATATTTCCACGGGAATGCGGCACCGGTGGAAGCGCTCGCTTCCCGCTCGGAACGCGACAGGTCACGGAGTGACGGACGAGTTAACATTCGCTAAATTAACGAACCGGCTCACCGACGAACCGACGCTCGTGTTCGGCACTAAGTCGTAACAGGAACTTTCACACGTAGCTCCCGCGCGGGTCCTCCCGCAGAAGCTTGAGCCTTTGAGATCAACGAGACCATTGTGAAAATAAATTCTACAATACGCGCGTATAAAGGGATGAAAAATTAAATGTCGTGTCGCGACTTTTTTGTACAATCGAGTTTAATGCGTTCGGACGTATCTTCAAGATAACGTGGACACAGAGTGTCTCGGAATCATCGTCCTAAATTTCCGCGAAGAGCTTTTCGACGTCATTGACGTTTACTAGGACACGTTGCACACGGAAAGAACGTTGTAGTAAAAATTACAACACAATTTGTTTACTGTTTGGAGATCGTACAGAAGTACGTTATCAAAGCTACCACATGCAGGATGAGACAAAAGTTCCTAAGTGATTTTAAAAATCAATTATTCTTTATCGAGACTTTTTAGGACAATTTTTTTTAGCTTGTAAAACTACAAGTCTGGAAGATTTATGATGAAAATCTCTGGTTCAAAGTAAGCCTCTTTATTATAAATCTCCCACAATTTTCGTTCTCTGGCTCAAAGTGAGCCTCTTTATCACGAATCTCCCAGATTTGTAGTTTTACAATCTGAAAAAAACTGGCCAAAAAAATCTCGAAAAAGAGTGATTGATTTTTAAAATCACCTAAAAACTTTTGGTTTCTACCCTATTTTTATTTAAGAATGTTATCCATGTTTGACTTTTCCCTATAAAATGATTATAATCACTTGAATGTTTCTTTTATATTGTATATCAGATAAATCATCATATTTACTATACTTCTATGATGATTTGTATTACGAAGTACAGTCCAGTACAGTCTAGTTTTACACGAAAACAGAAAGAGATACAAAAATTTTGAGATAATTTGTACTACAATATTTTCCCCGTGTATGTTAATTTCTCCGCGAAGAATTGACGATAACGTCATCGAAGGAGCATCCGAACGGTGCCTGAACGATTTCTCGATTGTTCCGCGGAGAATCCGGTACGTTCGGAACGACCGAATCCTCGACTCGCCGCGAACGATTCTCTTTCTCGTCTACAGCGACTCGTCGGAACCGAGTCGCCGGGTCAGAAGCCGGCAGGAAGCCGAAAGCATTCGTTCCAAAATTTATCCATCGTATGATAGAAGTGAGGCTGCACGCGCAGGAGAGAATGCACTTCGTCAGGGTACGAGACCTGCTCGAACATGATGTCCTGTCGCTCCAGCATCTTAGCGAACATCATTGCCTGCTGATAGTGTACGTTGTCGTCTCCGGTACCGTGTATCAGCATAAATTTCTTGCCGCGTATTCCCCGCGCTCGTCGCGAGATATCCGTGTTGTTATAACCGGCTTGGTTGTCGTCCTCGCTCGGCATCCCCATTATTCGCTCGGTGAAAACGGAATCTGTAATGAGTCAGATAGCGTCTCTGAGAAGAACGTCAGCCGGGCCCCGCGCGAGTCTCCGAGATCATTTGAGTGTAGATACACTAACGAAGTGTATCTTTTACGGGAAGAAATGTTTGCTTGGACGAACCGATTTCTGGCGACCAATTTATGAACGATTCAGAAATTACCAGAGATCTGTTTGTGACCAGAAATCTTGAATTTCGACGGAATTCTGATAACTTTAGTCGAGATTTCCGGATCGTTTGTATTTTAACAGAAATTGATCAAACTATTTTTTTCTCCGCGGGGAGCGTATCTCTCATGATCTGACTTCTACTCGGTCGAATCGCAGGTAATTTACGACGAATTTATTTTTAGACCAGACCGCTCGATATCGAAGAGACTGCGGAAGAGTCTCTTCCCTCGTCGCGATATCGAAAAACGAGATTAGAGACTCGAAGAAAATAAATACCGGTGGAATAGGTGGGCATGATTTACGACCAGAGCCGATGAGCTCACGTCACGCGTCGTACGCCGATCTGAATCTGAGAATCGTGAATTACCGTAATAGATCCATGAAGTCACGGGCGCGACTGAAATGCCGCACTTGAACACGAATTCTTTGTCCGTCACGAGTACCATGGCGGTGGTGAAGCCGCCGTAGCTCCAGCCCCATATGCCGATCCTGTCCGGGTCGATCCATCTGTACCGTTCTTGCAGAATTCTGGAAAATAACGACGGGCAATTTCCGCTGCTGACCGCCACGAACGAAATAATAATGCAATCTTCAGCTGCGCGCGTTACTCACTTGGTAACAGCGATCGTATCCTCGACCTCCACAGTTCCCATACGCCTGTATATCTCGAAGAGCATCTCACTGCCCTTATAGGCTGATCCTCGCCCGTCGATCCACATGTGAATAACGCGTTTGTTGGTCGTCAGGTAATGCTCGTACCCGATCTTAGAAAAATCGGTGATCTTGACACTGTTCGGACCGCCGTAACTGTAGAATCGGAATTTTAGGAAATTCTTAGTAACATGACATCTTTCTTATGCACACACACAGAAAACTATCATCTACTGCTAAAGAAAAGCGATTACTCATCGTCATTTTTATTTTCCTCCTCTTAAGTAACAACCATCTTCAATAAAGACTATTTATTTGATAATATAGTTTTAAAGTATACTCAAGTATATGCGCAAATTTTGTAGAAGCTCATTATCATGTATTAAAAAAAGAAGAATTTTTATTCTCTCTACAAGAATATTATAAAACTTTATCGAAAAAAAAGTTTACTCGACTTTTTTTTATTAAGATTCAGAATCTATCTAAAATAAATTTAATGTTTATAAGATGAATTTATGGTAAATATATAAACTTATAAAATACTTGAAACAAAGTAACATTTGATTGCAGAGTATATTTTTCTCTCTATATTTTACTCACAAATAAATCCAAAAAGTACACTCCAATTTCTTTCTAATTAGGCACAAATGTAGAAATATAAAAATTATTTAGGTCATATTTTTTCATTTTGACCCACTTTGACTTTCACGGGCAGTTTATAGCTTTTTAATGTTTTCACTCCTATCATCAAAAGTACAACAAAAATGCATAAGAAATAAAATTGAATACAAGATATACTTAAATAATTTTAACAAAATCAGTGTAGTTGAGACACGAACTATTCTAAATTTCTTTAGCTGAGATTCCAACCGAAATATTTTAAATCTATGCCAAATTAGTCAAAAATGGAATCTCAGCCAAACCGAGAAATTATTTGTATAAATAATTCTTTTTCAACTTTTTACATGTTTTGTTTAAACATTTTATTATTTATACAAATAGTTTTACACATTTGACTTCATAATCAGCAAACCAAAAACGCCTATATCTTTGCGCAAAAAGATTCCATTTTAACTTTTTTTTTTATGATGTATCGTCTGAGAATTCTTCCGTACACAAAGTAGCGAGACCAATTGAGAGAGGTAGTTTCCTGGAGTAATTTTTATTGACTTTGATGTTACATTATGTTCGATATTATCGAGTTTCTCGCGCTACGAATGTTTAGCATGAATCTCTAAGCAGATAAAAAGCCTGATACGTCACAAATGTTCTTAAAAGGGAGCAAGTAGAAAGGGCCATTAAAGATGGTGCGAATCGATCGTCGCGAAAGCACCGTCGTCATGAATCGGTCGAACCAACAGACTCCATCAACGGTGGCTCTCATTTTAAATGGAGATTGCGAGTCCCTTCGCGTGCCGATCAATCATAGTGTACGGCGGCGTAATTACGTCGTAGTCGCCATTAACGATATACACAGCAAACGTTGTCGCGGATAAACATTTTGTACCTACCCTAATCTGACTTTCACGAATGAGGCGTCGCCTTATTCGAAGCTGTTATTTCATTATTGCGCCGTTGAATTCTCTGACTTCTCGTTCAAACAACAATGTGAAAATTTTCAAATTACGAATAGCACGAAAAGACAAATGCATTCGATAAGATTTTGATTTCCCCGACGTTATTTGTTACGTACGATACATCTCTAATATTGTTATGTTTACAATGGGACGATATTTTCAATATTCAACAATAATACACCCAAAATAATCTCATCCTTAATGGCGTATACGTATCAAGAGGATTCTTCTAAAACCAAGAGGAAAATATTCTCTCCACCCGCAATATTATTTCTCTTCATTAGAGGAGTAATATTTTTTCGGTGAAGTTTCATTCTTTTCTCTTGCTCTCTACATTTTTTGAAATTAAATTTCACCCGAAAAAGAGACTGATCACCGATTCGCTTTGAGTAATTTCTCACTCGTATAGAATAAATTTTCTACTCTAAATTATCAAGTGAATATTTTCGCACGAAATTGAAGAATGAATCTGATGAATATATGTATATACTTCATCGTTACAGAAACATATTCATTTTCATCGACTGAAACATGTTCACTCGTATGAAGTCTGAACCCACTTGTCGATTATTTGTATTATAGTTTAATTTCATAATTTTTTTCTTTTTTAAATTAGAATTAGAGTTAGAATTTGGCTGGGATATATATATATATATATATATATATATATATATATATATATATATTTTGCCTCACCCACCCATATTTGCCCAACATTGCTTCTGATTATTATCTGTTTCGCTCATTACAGAACTCCCCTAAGGGGATGCTGAAGCTGAAAACTTTATCGACAGAATACTGACTTTTTTTTCAGGAAGGAGAAAATTAGCCTGTATGAAGTTAGCCCCCCACTTTTCGAATTTATTAATTTTGACAGTTGTGCTGATTTGTGCTAGGTTTGTGCTACATTGTGCTCGAATTATAAATTTTTAATACGAAAAATGAGCGAGAAAAATGGAAATTATGTGCCAATGCGACAAGTCTTGGCACACCATATTTCATAATGTGCCATTTTTTTTGCAGTTCTGATACTCTCTTGAAAAGTTCTAGAGCTCTTTGCAACAATTTTCAATAGTTCCGG